ACAAGGTTTTTTGTCGTGGCACTTAAATAAAACTTTTTTTTTTCTTGAGTATTTTTCTTATAACTATAGAAAAGAGAATTTTTAAAATGCGAACACATTGTTAAAAATGAGTCAAATATGAGCCAAAAGAATAAGTATAAGGGGGGCATAAGCCAATTTAAGTATGCTAGTTGTATGTTACAGTAAAAAACTATTATGTTTAAGAGTATTTGTTTTATAAAAATAGAAAATAGCGTTTTTAAAGTTAAAAAAAAAATTTTAAGCGTCACAAGGGTAAAATTGAGGAGGTCTAAGCCCATTTAGATATCCATTACAATTTTACCATGTTATTTACAATCACACTTAAAAAATAAATTAAATAAATACTTAAGTGAAAAATTTAAAAATCCAATTTAGTGAAGGATACAGAGGAAAGAGGGGGAGGAGGAGTAATGGATTAGATATCTTTCCTTTCCTTATCTTAACCTAACCCTTCCCTAAGAAATATAAAACGACACAGTTATTTATAAAGTTCTAAAAAAAAAAATTATACTGCACCATTTTATTTTTACGCAAAAAGATTGCTTATATAAAGCATAATTAGAAATTAGCTATAATTATAAGCATATTTATTAGCAAACTTTTAATCTCTGACCATGGCCGAATTAATCCATTTTAGTGCCCAAGTTACAAACCCATATGGGTGCTCCCTTCTGGTGAATCTTCATGGTCTGCATTTTTACGCATTACGATTAGCCCGGAGTTTTTGAAATTATTTATGCGCTTATTTTTTAAGCATTCAAGATTATACCAAACTTGAATGTTAATTTATATCATAATGTATTTCCTAATTTTTACAGCACTTATTAAATTTTTAGTTGTTTTTGGACTTGAATTTGTTCAAAAAATATATTTTTTGAAGAGTTGTGATGCACCCAAACGCTTGGTGCACAAGGCACTAGCCTTATTTGTCTAATGGGTAATCCAGCCTTACTTTTGACCTTTTGAAAAACATTTTTAAATTCTAAATGATCAAATAAATATTTCTTAAACTAATTGTTATTTATTTTACATTCATAGTTTTCAATAAATAATTTGTAAAGTAGAAATATATTATACGGTTATTGTAAATACGTACGATTGGGGCTCGGTGTTAAAACAAAATAATATCTTCTACTTGCCCCGTCAATGTTTTTGTTTATATACTTTTAAATTGTTAATGTTATTAAAAGGCGAAATAAACAAACAAACAAACAAAAACAAAAAAATGAAACATTCAAAATAGTAACTAAGAAATCGCAGATATTTTTTTTTTTCTTTTTTTTTTTTTTTTGTAGTTGGACTACCCCTTCAAGAATAATGACCTTGATCCGTCAATGATTAACTATTTCTCTTCCATTGCATAAATGCTTTATTTTTCAAAACCACTATAACACCAAAAAATGTTTTAAAGTTTTATTTCTAGTTTTTATATTTTGAATATTTAGGCAACTCTACAGTTTTTATTGATTAAAGACTTTCTGATATAGTGACAATATTTGATATAGTGACAATTTTTTTTTAAATAAACCAAATCAAAGTCAGTGTAAAAAATTGGGTCTTAAGTTTTGTGATTGACAGTCGACTTAGGTAGCTACATAGTTTAAAATACGATGGAACTTTTAACACATGGTTTAGCGTTCTTTTAAAGATTTGAACACCAACCTGTAATATCGTATTCTGTTAAAGGGCGTATGTGAACTATGTGCGGTTTTTTCTATTGAAAAAATAGGCATTATTATAAACCCCAGCATGCAGCGGCTGCAATTTACTTACGCTTATTTAAGTTAAGTAAGTTTAAAGAAGATATTTAATAAAGTTTAAATCAGTTTGTATCAGTGCTATTTTTAACGAAAGTGCGACTAAACCGCCCTTTAAGTAATAGGGTGGCCTCGTCGTAATTATGAAAATATAAATTATGAAAAGACAAAAATCTAAAACTTTATTCGGCCTAGGGCCCCCGAAGGTGTAAATCCACCATTGATTTGTATCCCGAAGTCACAAAGATTATTCTATTAGTTCTACAGATTTTTTCGATTGATTTTTGATTTGATCATAGAACAGTTTGATATGGTTTGTCTTGCAAAAACAAAGTTTGACGTTATCGATTAAAACACTAATTAAAAATATATATCTATATTGATCCAAGACACAATTAAACGGGTCAGAAACACCATAAGTCAATTTTGGACAAAAGTGAATCAAGCACGCAATTGTGTTATCTAAGGGTACATAAAAGTTCATTTGAAATCAATAAAAGTCAGAACTTTTCAGCTTGCGGATGCTGAAAGGTCTGACATCATTTTATTTCTCAAGGGAACTTGTATTTTTCCTCAGATAACACGATTCTGTCCTAGACTCATTTTCTCCAAAAATGGTGTTTCAGAAATGATCTGTACAGTTAGCCCTACAATTTAGTGTTGTTTATTTAAAACAAAATCAAATGAACAAACTTTTTATTAAGATATTAACTGTCCTCAAAGCGTTCGAAATCGAAACTGCAATTTAGGCCTCTTTAACCTCTTTATAGAACATTTTTACAATGCCTTTAAACACTAGCTAAAATTTATTCCATTTGGAATCTATATATAAATTAAATTAAATAAAACCCATAAAAATGGAAGTTTATATTGTCTCCCATTTTAGAGTCTTTTTATGCTTTCTCTAATGCAGTTTTTAGACATGTATTAAGATGCTTTTTTATTTCAATAAATAGAACTCTGATAGTTACCATTTTAGCAAATATTTATAGTGGATAGACTCATAATAATTACTATAAAACCGCTTCATTAAACCGACATTAACCTTCATTAAAATTATTAATTAAAAACTATTGAAATTGTAAACCGGTTGCAAACACAAAATAAACATATAATTATGCCACATTTTATAACATAATTAAGTGGACCGCAATTGTGTTCCTCTTGTTGAACACATAATCCATACTGGTTATCAGTTTTCATCACATTCATCCTATATAACTTTCTTGTCAGGTAAGCAATTACCATGCAAATAGCAAATCTTACCTAGCGCTGTCTTTTTTAAAATAAGCCAACGGTAGACTTTTTTTATAATAAGTCAACAGTGTGGACTTTATTCCACACTGTTGCCATATATTTTTTTCAGCACAATTGAAAATGTCAATAATTTCTATTTTCCAATGCGTTTATCCGGTTCAGAGTGACTTTTTTTTGTCTCGTCGGTTTTTTAAAGTTATAATTATTTATATTAAAGACAAACCAGAGAAACTCCGTTCTATAAGAATAAATGAAAAATAAAAAAATAATGCGAACCGATTTTACAAAACGTAATTTGTTTATTGATAATACTGAAATAAAAAGAGCTATAGTTACCAATTTCTTGGGTGTTAACATTAATGAAAATCTCACTTGGAAAAATCATGTTAACATTCTAAACAATAAAATTATTAGAAGTATAGGAATAAAAGTATACTTAATTAAATTACTCATTTATTCATTGTCATATTAATTATGCTAATACTGCATGGGGTAGTGCAAATAAAAGTATAATGGAACCTCTTTATCGCGCAGCAAATATTGCACGTCTTATAAGCTTTAAAGATCGTTTTACTCATGCCAGGCTTCTTTTACTTAAAATGAATATTCTTTATGCATTTCAGCTTAATATTTATAATGTTCTTTGGCTTATGTTTAAATGTAAAACTAACACTTCCCCTTATCCTTTTTATAATTTTACACACAAAATAAAAACAAATAAATACTCTCTTCAAAATGAAAATTTTATCCAACAACCTTTTTTGCATACAAATTTTGGTAGATCTTGTATCTCTTATCGAGGTGCTTTTTTATGGAACAAAATAGTTTTGAAATATTTTGATTTTTCTCAAGAGATGAATTACGACACATTCAAAAGCAATTTTAAACAGATAGTTTTATCTTTCGATAACAAACCCTTATATTTTTAATTTTTATAAAGTAAAAGCCTTTAAATTCACTTCATAATATTTACATGAATGTTACTTATCTTTTAAGTTCTTATTTTTACTTTCGACGAAAATATATATATTTAACACAATAAACGCAACGGTTTAGTTGAAAAACAATGCGGTTGTCGACGACAAGACCTTAAGGTCTTCCACGAGATTCCGCGTTCTTTCTCTGACAAACTTAATTAATCTTGTAAACAGTTAATTATATTATCGAAATTATTATAATTGTAAAAAGGTTGATATTGTAAATATATAAAGAAAGGACAAAAAAAAAAAAAAAAGGAAAACAAAAAAAAAAAAAAATTTTAATCGATATCCGTTTGATTTGCAATGTAGCGTAATTATTAATTTGTACAAACTTATTATAACATTGTACCGCTTGTTCTTATTATTTATAAAAACTAAACTGTAGATTTAACATTTATAGACTAATAATAAAATGCAAAATAAGAGTTAAATTTTATTTAATTTAATAACAGAAGTTTCAAAATATTTTTTTATCAAATTTCATTTTTGCCAACAACCGAAATTTTCGCTGCATCGGCAAGTGACAAATCGTTCCTACGCTCAAAATTTCCATTTTATAATAATAATATATATATATATATATATATATATATATATATATATATATATATATATATTAAATCTATTTACTAAATCTATTTTTTTTTAAATTCAATTAAATTTGAAACAGAGTATCTATCTATAAAGTAGTTTTACAGCATTATGTTAATAGAATTAACGTCAACAGAAAATATTTGAATAATAGCAATAATAATAATAATAATAATAATATTTCAATATAATATAAATCAGAATAATAATAATATTTGAATAAGTTTTACTTTAAGAAATCAAATGGTGATTGAAATACGAATGACTTTGTTACTTGTTAACCCAAAAATCACACAGTTATTGTAAAAATCCTCAAAACAGAATTTTCAATGGAAAAACACAAAAAACAAACAAACAAATGCAAAACCTGCTAATAAACTATTTCAAAATATATACGTATTTATATTTAGTTATACAAATAGTATTTTAACATTAATTTAATAAAAATTATATTATTAATAATCCGTATCAAAATTCTGCATACAATAAAAAATCTATAATAAATTAAACTTGTTATAAATTGCATTTAATGCCGATAGTGAATCAAATAGGAGGGGGGATGGTTATGAGGTTTTTTAACTTTGAATGCTTTAGAATACATGACCGAATTAAAACCAATAAAGTGGGAATGGACAAGAAAAACAGGTTAATGAGCAAGAAAAAAGTTGATAATATAAAGTTTAGGAGGTTGCAGAGAATCATTTTTCCGAGTCAAATTTTTAATCAAGGATTTGAGTAAAAAGATGACTATAAATATTGCTTTTAAACATTTAATAAAAAAATTAAAATTAGCATAATTATGCTATTTCATTTAAATCCAAAAAATTTCTATGAATCAAAATAGATGATGCAGCCTGTGAAAAGCTTTCCCTTTTTAAAGTTGGAAGTGCAATATCATTGTTCAAGAAATCAGATGTTGAACCGTTTTCCTTTCGTGCTTTTTCATAAAATATCTAAAATAATAATAATAATAATAATAATAATAATAATAATAATAATAATAATAATATATATATATATATATATATATATATATATATATATATATATATATATATATATATATATATATACATTCCCAGCACACTAAACTTCAAAGTAGTGTGTTTTCGGACCCCAAAATTTAAAGATACAGAAAATCTGTCAATTTCAAAAAGATTAATCTTTTATAAACTCAATGTTTAGATTATTACTGAGCCTCCATTATCTGGAAGACTGAATGGAATATTACACGAATTTTTTATTTTTATTTTATCTAGGTGCCCCAAGAAGTCCTTACGGTCTTAGCACAGAGCACCGCGGATGACGGTCTTATCACACCGCACCGCGGATTTAGAAACCAAATTATGTTTATATTCACTTTTCAGAAATCTTAAAGTCACTTGCTTTTTTCAATTTTAGTTTTTTAATCTTCAGATGGTTTCTTAAGATCTAGTCTCATTGAAATAACAATGTTTAAAATCCTTAAAAACAACATCTTTGTTTTTTTTAAGGTTTTTATGCTCCAAACAAACTTAGAAATTAAATTTTTTTCTTCTTAAGAGAAGCTGTAGTTGCTACATCCTACAAACATTAACTTTAAAAAAAAAGATTACTAAGACGGACGTCGAGGATACTTAATTAGGAAGCCCTATGATAGCAGCTTCATTGTCGGTAATTTTAACATATCAAATTTCCTACGTTCAGATGCTATTGGACTTCTATTTTCAAATTGTTTCCTAATGCTGTATTAGGTAATAATACCGAGGGCTGCTTTAGTATCACTTGAGGAATTTTAGTTTCAAACCGTTTCCCGAAAATGAATCCTAGTTGTTTGGTTACAGCAAAGGTGAAAACGATTCAATATCAAACTTTATAGCATTAATCAACTGGAATATTTTATTTCTACATAAAACCACGGAACAATTGTTTAACTTATTAATTTTTTAATAATTATACTGTTTGCGAATATTTTATCCCCAAGATTAATCAAATAAAGCTGAAAAATAGCCAAAATACTTGTTAAAAATAAAATCTTTAAGCACATTAACAATAATAAAATCTGCAAATCTGCAAATCAACATGGCTTTCTTCAGCATAAACTATGCATGACTAATCTAATAGAGACATTTAATATTGTTTCATCTTTTTTAGAATTTCACCAGTTTATTGATGTAATCTCGATTTCGCCAAAGCGTTGATTCTCTAACTCAAAACAGACTTATGTTAAAATTAAGATATTTCGCAATAAATAAGAATCAAATTAAAAAGGTATAATAAATTAATCACTAAAAAGCTCTAATAAAATGCATAATTTAGGTGTATTTATTTCATGTAACGCCAAGTAGAGCACACATTTTCGAACAGTTGACTCAAAGTCCTTACAAATTCTTGGTGTGCAAAAAGACATTCACTTTCATTGAAGAAAATATGGCTCTCAAGTTATATAAAGTGTTTATTAGACCACACCATAAATATACAGTGTTTCTTTGGGCTTCTTATTTAAATTTGATTTGCAGCTATAAAGACAAGAAAAAAACTTTTATTAGATTTTCTACTTGCTATACTTGCATCATGTAACATACTGGTTTCGATTTAATTAAATCAAAAGTGTATTTAAAAATAAGGCTTTTGTTTTCATGTATAATTTTTGTCAAGAAAAGAGAAGGAAGGCGGGGGAGGAGAGAAGTAATTTAAGACCCGGAATAAAATTTTGTGGGGAGGCCAATTTTTTGTCGCTATGCTACTGATTTTAAGCAGTATTTTTCCCAGGTAATAAACATTAGCTATTTCTTTAATAGCCTTATATAAATTTCTAATTTGCTTCTTGTTTTCCTTAGTCCTATGGATGTTTAATTTTATTTTTTTTGTTTTAGTTCTATGGATGTTTGATTGAGACAACAGTGAGACAAGTGGTTTGAACGACTTGAGAAAACAGTATCACTTTGGGTTCTGTATGTGCTAAATATATTTTAATTTAGAAACAAAAGTAGTGCTTTTGACAACTAAAGGTGAACCCACTGGATCAAGTTCGTTATTATTTCAGAAAATTGTTAAGGCAAGGCAGTTCAACTAATGAAGTTGGATCCAGGACAGGTGCGATGTGGGCAGGTGTAATGTGGGGGGGAGGGTCATTAGAGTGACACCATAGCATTATGGTGTTACTCTAATGACTAGTTTTTAACTATACAAGTGACACAAATAACTCTGTTATATATAACAAAAACTCTGATTCTGTCAAAGTTTTTGTTATCTATGACAGAGTTAGAGTTTTAATACACACAAACACGCACGCATATAAACATATAAACACACTCATATATATTTAAAAACACAACTATTGTAAAAGTTACTTTGAACTGACTTAAGGGGTAAAAACTGACTTAAGTGGTAATTAGATTCTAACTGTTGACCAGCCTCGCACCCCTTTTTCATCTATTAGGCTGGCGCAGATTTATTTATAATACATTGTTTCCAGTTTAGGATGTTGAATGCAAAATCTTCTTGACTCAATACATGAGTTTTGCTTATGTCTCTCTTTTTATGACTAGCCAACTTATTCTATTATCTCCTAATAAGGGTACAGCTCTAAAACTTAGTTTTATGGTTCTGAGGCCAGCTAGTTGTCAGGTTTCCCGAACTCCGTGGTAGCTCTCTGAGAGACTGATTCCATCAACAGCTGTAAAATGTCAGAATACTAACAATGCCATGTTGTGCATGGGTGGTGTTCCTGTTCGCACTTTTGGTGTGCATTGTTGAATCCACATTTGGAACCCATTGTTAAGGCTTAGGGTTTATTAATAGTATTGAGGCAATTGCTTGACAATTAAATAGTGTACTGAGAACTATCTGTACTTTGAGTCAAGTTCTTTAACAAATTTAAAAATGACTTAAGTACCAAAAAACTATAAAAACTCAAAAAAACATCATCAACACCAAGTTCTCTAAATCTACCATTCACTAGTATTTGTGATCTTCGAAGTAGCTTTTATTCTGTTGAGTCTTATCTCTTGCAAAATTGACCAGACCATACTTAATCTTTGTGAGACTTATTTGAGTTTGGCTGTTTCATCTTGTGATCTTAGAGTTGATGTTTATCTTTTTATAATTTGTAAAGACTCCAATAGTCACATGCTTGACCTGGCCATTTACATTTGCGAGAAATCCCTTATTTATTGGGAAACTAGGTTTGAATCCACAGACTATTTTTGCATGTGCTTTTGTTTGGCACCACTTCACTCAATCACTTTTCTCTTTGTTCTATATTGCTCTCCTTCACCTCAAGACTGCACTCTTTTTGATGTTATTTCTGATCAAATTGACCCAGCCCACCTTCAACAAATATCGTTGATGTTGGTGACTTTAATGCTCATCACACTGAATGGCTTGGCTCTAGTGTTAGTGACTCTGCAAGCATTAAGATCCACAAATATTACCATTCTCAATCTCTAACTCAAATAGTCAACTTTCCAACTCTTTTCCAGACAATCTGAATCTATTATCTTCTCTACTCGACTTATGTCTTATTTCTGATCCTAGTCAGTGCTCAGTTTCTTCATATTCACCTTTAGGTGCTTCTGATCACAGTTTGATTTTTCTAAAACTATTATCTCATTTTTTTTCATCATCAGAAGCCCCCTATTATTACCTCTTACAACTACCTTAAGGCTGACTGGGACTCTTTCTGTGATTTTTTCGTGATAGCTCTTGGGTAGAAGTCTTCCTGCTGATGTGCTTCTTATGTAACTTCTTGGATTCAGGCTGGCATGGAATCTTTTATTCCCTCTCCACGATTCAAGCCTCACTCTGCTCGCTGGTTTTCCTTGCATTGTGCTGCTGCAATTGCCAACCGAAACTATTACTTCCATATCTATCAACAAAACATTACTCCAGAAAACAGACGTCTGTTAAATATTGCTAGAAACCATTGTAAAAAGGTTTCGTCTAACGCCAAAGTCTGGTCAGGAAATCTTGTATTTCAAAATCTTAAAAATAAAAATTTAATTTACATTAACAATCTTCCATATATCCTCACATCTAAGGTGGCATTGTTTGCTGACGATACTACCATTTATTCTTGTCTTGATAAGAAACCAACACTCTCTGATTACTTAGAGGAGGCATTTGAGCTTGAAATAGTTTGTACAGTATGGGATTCTCAGTGGCTGGTGAACTTTAACTCAGATAAAACTTATTTTTTTTAGCTAATTCTTATTGCAATAATCTAGATCTTCTAATATTTATGAGCATTAATGTACCCAATAAAGCATCTACCCTTCATCTTCTACGATTACCTCATTCAATTAAGTCTCATCCATTTACTGTGACTGTTCCTAAGTGCTCTAAAAATTCTAATTTATCTAGTTTTTTTCCTTGAACATCAGTTCTTTGGAATTTGCTTCCTTCATCTTGCTTTCCTGATTCATATAATTTGCAATCTTTTTAGTTGCCTTCGATCATTAATTTGCTCTATAAACTTCATCTTTCTCTTCCAGTAACTTCTAATGGTAGTTGGTTGCAGCCTCTTTAGAAGTGAAGATATTTAAAAAAAAAAAAAGTTAGAACTGTATGTACTGCATAGAAAAACTAAGTTGATACCAGATTGATAAATTTATCTTTAAACTGTCAAACCAGCGAAACCATACTCCAAATTACAATGAATGTTCCATACATAGAATTTATCTCTAAAACCTTGTTGTAAAAGTCAAACATATTCAATAGTAATTATGTGTTTAACAATAATAATTGTGTATGTTTACAAAAAAAATTCAAAAAAGGTAATGTGACAAAAAGGTGTATAGTATAGAGCTATATTTTTTCATGTATATAACATTTATGAGTAACGTTTTATTGAGTTGTTACACATGAATTAATTGGTATACAGTCTATACCAATTAACTCATATGCAACAATAATCCAATAAAACGTTACTTATAAATGTTATATACATGAAAAAATAAAACTGTCATATATAACTAAGTAGCACCCACAAATTTATTTCAAATACAAAAACTTATTTTAAACACCCAAACTTATTTTAAACACACAAGCTTATTTCAAACACTAACTTACTTCAAACACACAAATTTATTTCAAACACACAAACTTATTCCAAACACACAAACTTATAAAATATGAGTAGTACTATATATGCAGAAAATACACAAAATCAAATTAAGATATTCAATAATAAAAGTTAAAAATGAGTTTGCTAATTGTTTGAAAATGGTGTATAGATTGGTGTTTAGCATTGCATTTTGAAAAAATGTCAATGTTAGCGTATAAGATATAACTTAAAATAATGCAAGAAATCTGCGCTGCTTGAACTAGCAATGAAAACAGAGAAATATGAAACCTTAAAATTTTTTTTGTAAAGGAGGTTATGCAAATAAAAAAAATGATGTTCAGAAAAAACAAAAATTTATTTTAAGGAGAAAAATATATATTCACAAATATAACATTAGTAAAAAAATTGTAAAATATAACAAAATGTAAAAGTATACAGGGTGTAAGTAAAAAATAAACATTGATACTTTTTTATAAAGGTATTTAATATAGTTGTAGGTAACAAATTTCTCCTCAGAATTACATCTATAATTACTAGAGTTTAGAAGAAACACTAACTGGTTTATGCAGTCAGAAAAACACAATCATCATGTGTGCTTTAACCTGCAATTTTTAGTTATTTCATACTGCAGTATGGAATAAGCAAATAAAAAGAGGATAACTTCAATACAAATAGCCAAAAACCAATTACACCCAATATTTGTAAAGCGCCAATATTCAACAATTCAAATCTAATTATAAATTGGCAATTTCCTCTGATAAAATTTTTTTTCATTTTTTTGTTGGTAACTCAATACCTTTTTTTCCTTGAAACCTTTTTTGCTTTCATTTCTAACATGATTAGAACTTTCTTTACAATTTTGTCTGGTTTTCTCTAATCTTTTTTTTTAGGGATTATATATATTTATATATATATATATATATATATATATATATATATATATATATATATATATATATATATATATACTTTATACATAAATACTTTATATATATATATATATATATATATATATATATATATATATATATATATATATATATATATATATATATATATATATATATATATATATATATATACTTTATACATAAATACTTTATATATATATATATATATATATATATATATATATATATATATATATATATATATATATATATATATATATATATATATATATATATATATATATATATATATATATATATTTAGGAATATTTTATACAAATATGCTTCTCTACACTTTTCATCTCAAATTTACTAACTTACAAGGAATAAAGTTTTTTGAGATTTTTTCTGAGATTTTTTTTTAACACACAATGTTTTTTCAAAATATAGGCAATTGACTTTGTTTAAGTGGTTTCCTAGTAATAAGTAATTTATAAATATTAAATAATAATAATAATAATAACAACAAAATAATAATAATAATAACAGCAATAAAAATAATAAGGGAAATAGCTTTTGCTCATCTGGTTTTTAAAAAATTCATTTCAAATTTTAATTTAATAAATCAGTGTTCATTTAAATTAAAGTAAATTCAAAAAAATATTTGTTGCAATTTTATGTCATATTTGAAATATTTATATTTACAGCCTCATTTTTGTTAAAATATATTTTGTTGAAAGTCTAAAAACTTGTCAACATTCCTACATTTTGTTAAACAAAAGACACTCTAGTGTGTGTCATCTTGCTATTAATAAAAAAATGAAAATTAAAAAATTATAAAAAAAAGTAAAAATACCTTAGCCTTATCTATAGCTTCAATCCATTTGCTCTGTTCATTAGGATTTAAAAGCAATGTAAATGCAGTAGACATAACACCATACTCATTTAGATAAACAAACAGCAAAGAGCCAGCAAGGACATGTAAAACAACTTTGCTTAAACAATATGGTTGACGAACTATACGATATTTTTCTCCACCTCTTTTTGGTTTTGTCATAATAAGTACATCAGTGAAAAGAAACGCTTGTACATCAATCTAAAATTTAACAATAAATTTATGCTATGATGAAAATTATATATCAAAAAATTTCTTACATAAATATACACACCCTCCCGTTCTTTTCAACAATCTTCATTGGACCATCATATAAAAGAAATCTTTTCTCGTGAGCTGCTAATCCTGGGATAGGAGCACGTAAGTCAAATTTACAGTACTCAGCAACATGCTAAAAATATTTATTACTTTACAAGTCCTATTGTTCATTTAGATTATCAATTAAAAGTATTTTTTTCTTTAGCAAACAAAAATTATTGAATTAATAATAGGTGTAACCATTTACTTTCTCAACTTCATCTGTTACTGATTCAATAGGTAAATAAAGCTCTAACTTGTCAAGAACAGCATTGAGCTTTTGTTCTTCTTGCTGCAACCGCATTGCTGCATTAATTTTTCCAACAAATTGCTCAACTTGTGCAATCTAAACATTTTTATTTTAATAACACATAAATAAAAAATTTCAAATTTTATATTAAATAGAATAAATTCCATATAAACAAATAATATGTCATGAGTTAAGAAAAAACCTTTTACAAGTTAGCTAAACTTCACACAGGTAATAATTTTTTTAATAGTGAAAATAAATTACAACTCATTAAAAATGAATACTTCAAAGATAAACTTTTTCACAATAAAAACATTTTTAAAGAAGAAACTTTTCCATAGTAGAACTTTTAGAGTAGAAATTTTCCATAGCATAATTATTTTCGCAGAAGAAACTGTTCCATAATAAAATTATTTTCATAGTAGAAACTTTTCTGCAGTAGAACTATTCTCATAGCAAAAACTGTCCATAGTAGAACTATTTTGGTAGTAGAAACATTTCCATAGTAGAACAGTTTTTATAGTGGAAACATTTTAATAGTGAAAACCTTTCTATTGTAGAATAGTAGTAGAAACATTTCTTTAGTAAAACTACTTTCATAGTGAAACTTTTTTCATAAATTTTTTCATATAACTTTTAAGTTAAGAATAAGTTTTAGTAATTAATTCAATAAAATTTGAATCTTACTACTTTTTCTATAGCTAAACATTCTTTTTCATTGCGAGTTTTTTTCAAAATAACTTTAAGAAGAAGATTGTACTTTGTTATTCGCTGCATTGGCTTTACTAAAAGGTCAGCAAGTTTTAAACGCATACATTGAGAACTGTTTTCACACCACTAAAAGAAAATGTATAGAAAAGATTTATTAATAAATATAAAATTTAGATTTTTAGGAAAATAAATGCTGTTCATTATACATTATTTTCAATAAACAGCTTTTTCATTTTTAATTAATCTAAATAATCTAGTAATTAATTCGAATTAAAAATAAGTAAATAAAAATTGATTTTATATATATACAACATAATAACAGATTTAATTGATTTTATTGAAATACAACATAATATCAAATAATTGTTAATAATATACCACATATTTGTATGATAAGTGATATAATTATTTCTTATATACAACATGAAGATAACTATGGTTGATTTTATAGATATATGAAACGATGACATATATTATTGTTGTTAATGCTAATGATGCATCACAAAATGATACATTACATAATGGCAGCAGGGTCAAATAATTAAAGGTTTGAGGTCAGCAAATAAAAGTAGATATTTTAGGTAGGTGGGTCTTTACATATAAAATATATTAATCTGCTACTGCATATTAAGGTTGACATGGTGCTAGCATTATCTGTTATTTAAAATTTTTAAATAAGGTCAGGTCAGGTTTTCCTGCTACTGGTAACATGTAACCCAGTACAACCTGCTCCATGTCCTGCTGCCTTGTAGGATACGCTTTTTTAGGCAAAGGCTAGGAGAAGTTAACTCCGAATTAAAACACCCCCTGCCTTGGGGCTCTTGGTTGAGTAAAGGCTAGAGATGGTGTCTCGATAAAAATACTCATCTTGGGCAGATGTTACATGCATCCAGCTGCTGTCTTGTAGAAGGCCTCCTAGGCAAAGACTTAAGGGGTAAACAGATTCTATCTGTTGACCAGCCTCGCACCCCTTCCTCATCTATTAGGCTGGCGCAGATGTATTTTTAATACATTGTTTCCAGTTTAGGATGTTGAACGCTGGATCTTCTTGACTCAATGCGTGGGTATTGCTTGTGTCTCTATTTTTATGACTGGGCAACTCATTCTATTATCTCCTAATGAGGGTACAGCTCTAAAACTCAGTTTTATGGTTCTGAGGCCGGCTGGTAGTCAGGTTTCCCGAACTCTGTGGTAGCTCTCAGAGAGGCTGATTCCATCAACAGCCGAAAAATATCAGAGTACTAACAGTGCCATGTTGCGCATGGATGGTGTCCCTGTTTGTACTTTTGGTGTGCATTGCAGAGGCCACATTTGGAGCCCTTTGCTACGGCTTAGGGTTTATTAATAGTAATGAGGCTATTGCTTAGTTGTTAAATAGTGTACTGAGTACTATCTATACTTGAGTCAAGTTCTTTATAAATTTAAAATGACTAAAGTACCTAAAACTAATAAACACAAAAAACCATCGTCATCACCAAGTTCTCTAAACCTATCATTTACTAATATTCGTGGTCTTCGAAGTAACTTTTCTTCTGTTGAGTCTTATCTCTTGCAAAGTTCACCAGACCTACTTGCTCTTTGTGAGACTAATTTGAGTTCGGCTGTCCCATCTTGTGATCTTAGTGTTGATGGTTATCTTCCTTTAATTCGTAAAGACTCCAATAATCACATGCTTGGCCTGGGCATCTACATTCGTAAGAACTCACCCATTTGTCGTGAAACTAGGTTTGAATTTCCAGACTATTCATTTATGTGCTTTCGTTTAGCACAACTTCACTCTATGGCCTTTCTCTTTGTTCTATATCGCTCTCCTTCATCCCAAGATTGCACTATTCTTGATGTTATTTCTGATCAAATTGACCAAGCCCTCTCTCTTTATCCATCGGCCAATATCGTCGTTGTTGGTGACTTTAATGCCCATCACACCGATTGGCTTGGCTCTAGTGTCAGTGACTCTGCTGGCGTTAAGGCCCTCAACTTTTGCCTTTCTCAATCTCTAACTCAAATAGTCAACTTTCCAACTCGTTTTCCAGACAACTCTAATCATTTACCTTCTCTACTCGACTTATGTCTTGTTTTGGATCCTAGTCAGTGCTCAATTTCTCCACATTCACCCTTAGGTACTTCTGATCACGGTTTGATCTCTCTAAAACTATTATCAAATTCTTCTACTTCATCAGAATCCCCCTATCATCGTACCACATACAACTACCTTAAAGCTGACTGGGACTCTTTCCGTGATTTTCTTCGTGATGGCCCTTGGGTAGAAATCTTTCGTCTTCCTGCTGACAAATGTGCTTCTTACATAACTTCGTGGATTCAGGCTGGCATGGAATCTTTTATTCCCTCTCGACGATTCCAGGTCAAGCCTCACTCTTCTCCTTGGTTTTCCTCACATTGCGCTGCAGCAATTTCTAATCGAAACCGTTACTTCCATATCTATCAGCAAAACAATTCTCCAGAAAACAGACATCTGTTCACTATCGCTAGAAACCATTGTAAAAAGGTTTTGTCTGACGCCAAAGCTCGCTATTCCCAGGTCATTAAATCTCGTATCTCATCACAAAAATTAGGCTCTCGAGACTTCTGGAGAATCTTTAACAGTATCAATAATAGGGGCAAATCTGTTATTCCTTCTCTCTTGTATGGTTCAGACTTTGTCACCTCACCTAAAGACAAAGCTGAATTGTTTGCAAAGAACTTTTCATCAATATCATCTCTTGATTCCACTAGTTGCGTTTTACCTGACATAGCCGTCAAACAGGTTGATCCCTTGCTTGACATTTGCATCACTTCAGCTTCTGTATCTAAAGTAATTTCCTGCTTAGACTCTTCAACAGCTTGTGGTCCTGACAACATTCCTGTTGTAGTCTTGCAGAGGTGTTCTCCGGAGCTTTCATCCATACTTTCTAAACTATTTAACAAGTGCTTATCAGAGTCTTGTTTTCCATCATGCTGGAAAGCAGCATCTGTTATCCCTATTTTCAAAAATTCCGGAGAGCGATCTGATTCATCTAACTACCGCCCCATTAGTCTTCTTCCTGTCATAAGCAAAGTTTTTGAATCTTTAATCAACAAACACTTAATCTCTCATCTTGAATCAAATAACTTACTTTCTGATCATCAATATGGATTTCGGTCTTCTCGTTCTACAGCTGATGTGCTAACAGTAATAACCGATAGGTTTTACCGTGCATTAGATAGAGGTGGAGAGGTTAAGGCTATCGCACTTGACATTTCTATAGCTTTTGATAAAGTTTGGCATGCTGGTCTTCTCCATAAGCTTTCTTCTTATGGTGTAGCTGGTAACGTCTTTAAGATTATTGAGTCCTTTCTTTCCAATCGTAGTATAAAAGTTGTCCTTGATGGACAACACTCTTCTTCACATCCTGTAACTTCAGGGGTTCCTCAAGGTTCAATCCTTGGCCCTATACTCTTTTTAATTTACATTAACGATCTTCCAGATATTCTCACATCTAAGGTGGCATTATTCGCTGACGACACTACCATTTACTCTTGTCATGATAAGAAGCCTACACTCTCTGATTGCTTGGAGGGGGTATCTGAGCTTGAAAAGGATCTCACTTCTGCTTCAGCATGGGGCTCACAGTGGCTGGTGAACTTTAATTCAGATAAAACTCAATTTTATTCGGCCAATCGTTATCGTAATAATTTAGATCTTCCTATATTTATGAATGGTAATGTACTAGATGAGTCATCTACCATTCATCTTCTAGGATTAACTCTTACTTCTGATCTTTCTTTTAAACCGTATATCAAATCCATTGCAAAATTAGCATCTGCTAAGGTTGCATCTCTTTATCGAGCTCGACACTTTCTTACTCCAGATTCTATTCTCTATCTCTATAAATCTCAAATCCGTCCCTGTATGGAATACTGTTGCCACATCTGGGGCGGAGCTTCTAATGATGCTCTTTCTCTTTTAGACAAGGTGCAAAAACGAATTGTAAACATAGTTGGACCTGCTCTGGCAGCCAATCTCCAACCTTTGTCACATCGTCGTAATGTTGCTTCTCTTTCTCTTTTCTACAAATACTATAATGGGCACTGCTCTAAAGAGCTAGCGTCCCTTGTGCCATCTACTAAAATTCATTCTCGTGTTACTCGCCATTCAATTAAGTCTCATCCTTTTTCTGTGACTGTTCCTAAGTGCTTCAAAAACTCTTATTCTTCTAGTTTTTTTCCTCGAACATCAGTTCTTTGGAATTCGCTTCCTTCATCTTGCTTTCCTGATTCATATAATTTGCAATCTTTTAAGTCATCAGTCAATCGTTATCTTGCTCTACAGTTTTAGTCTTTTCTCTTCCAGTAACTTCCAACTCTTATAGTGGTTGCTTGCAGCCTTGTTGGAAGTGAAGATGTTAAAAAAAAAAAAAATGCACACTTTTATGCCGACAAATTTTTCAGAAAAAGAAAAAAAAACAAGAAAAAACTAGAAAAAAGGCCTTGAGAATTTTACTTGCTTTATCACCAAATAAACGACCCTGAAAAAACTCCTCTTTTAAGAGATTCCTTCACTTCTTTTAAGAGATTCCTTTGGAAATCTCAAGATTAGCATTTAAAACAAAGATTAAAACAAAGATTAAAACAACATTAATGTAAGGAACCATCCATAAAGTATGTACGCTTGAGAGGGAAAAGGGGTATGCAAATGGCATAATGAGATGGTGGGCAAGTGGTCAATAATAAAAACAAAAGATACAAAATTAAAAAAAAATATCATAAAATGTTGGGTAGGTCACAAGTGCAGGGAGGTGGAGGGTAAAATGCGGAAGATGGGGAGGGGGGCAGAGGGAGAAAGGTTAAAAAAAAAACGTATGTACTTTATGGACAACCCCTTATAAAATGATTAATAATAAATACAAATAAAAATATTTTTTTACTGTGCATTTGTTTAAATTTTTTTAAACATGTAACCCAGTACTTATGTCTTGCTGTTTTGTAGGTTTGCTTTTTAAAACAAACCTTGCTTTTTTACAAAACAACAAAGTTAGGAGATATAAAATCTGACTTAAAATTTTATTGGGACTCTTGGTTAAGTAAAGGCTAGATCATCTAGGGCAGTATCATCAGCTGCATCTAGCTACTATTTTAGTCTCCTATGCAAAGACTTTAGGGGGAAGCAGAATAACTATGTTGACCAGACTTTCACTTTATCTATTAAACAAAGAAAGGTTGCAAAGACTCCAATAGTCACATGCTTGGTTTGTGACTATTGGAGTTGCTTAACACTTCTTCACTCAATTTCTTTATTGGTTTCTTTTTTCTTTATCATTCTCCTTCTTTATTGATCTCCTTTGTCTCAAGATTGCACTCTTTTAGTTGTAATTTCTGATCAAATTGACCATGACTTTTCTCTTTAGCCCTTTTAATGCTCATCACACTGCTTGGCTTAGCTTTAACACTACTGACCCTGCTGGCTCGCAATTTCTGTATTTCTCAATCTCTTAGTCAGATAATTATCTGACTGAGATTCTTTTCGTGATTTTCTTTGCTATAGTCCTTGAGATGATGTCTTTCATCTCTCTAGTAATAAATGCACCTCCTACATAACCTCCTGGATCCAGGCAGGTTTGGAAACTTGTATTCCTTCTCATCCGTTTCAAGTCAAGCCTCATTCTGCTCCATGGTTTTCACCTTTTTGTACAGTTGCTATAACTAATTTTAATCAATTTTTCATCTTAACTCAGAAGTTAGGCTCTTGAGACTTTTGGAAAATCTTCATCAACGTCATTAACGGTCGAACATTCTATTGATTTGACAATGTCATTAACAAAGGTCGAACATTCTATTGATTTTTCTATAAAGAGACTATTGTCTAAAAAAGTTGTATAAACTGGAAATAAACTTTTTTTTAAATAATTTTTATTATTAAAAATGCATACTTTTTTAGTTTATATAATATAAATAAATAAAAAATTATATGCAACTTTCATTGATTCTTTAAACAAAAATAGTAACTTGTTTTAAAAAGAAAAGTAATTTGTTACTTTATTTAACAGTGTTTTGCTAATATAAAAACATTAGTAAAGATAGAAGTTTTGATGTTATTTATAACGTATAATTTCAATTCTTTTTTATTCAGTGCGTTTTTGAAATGTTAAAAGCCGTGGTCAAATAGTCAAAACAAAATATTATTAGTCATATAATATTGTGTGATTATACGCTTTCCTGGCCAATATTAATATATAATATCTTTTTCTACAAATAATCAAAATGTGAAGCAAAAGTGAACTTCTTTGTAGGTTGTTTTAACCAAAGTTCTTCTTTCATACTGTCCAGCTGATGGGTCTTTTTTTTACAGGATTAAAATTGAAAATTCTTTAAAAGAGTTATTGAAATTAAAAGATCAAAAAAACAATAAATCCTGCTGAAGTAAAAATAAAAAACATTCATTTGAAGTTGTTTGGATTGGAGATCATCCTTATGTCATGTTAGAGGAAATATTAAAAGAAAAAATGAGAAAAGTTAACGACAAAGAAGTAGATATTGCTTTCTTAAGACAAAGAAAAGGAAGTCTTGGAATTAGAGATAAAAGACATGAGTTGTAGGACAAAGTAAAGAAAGCACATTAAAGTTAAATAAAAACTAAAGGAATACATCAAAAACACTGTAACACTTTGATGGAACACTGTTAACACTTTGATAAAACAATGGTTAATGAGTTAATGGAAGAAAATTAGAAAGCAATTTAAAAAAATAGAATTGCAGTTTTGGAAATGATTAATGAGAAAGTAGAAATACTGGGCAAATGCTGAAAATCACCATGATTTCAGAAATTATCAATAATTTATGCAGGACCAAATCTTTTAGAATTTCACTATAAAATCAAACTAAATAAAGAAACCAAAATAAAAATTACAACAGTATTATAAATACTACTTTGGTGCAAAAATTACATTACAACAGTATTATAAATATTACTTTGGTGCAAAAAGTTTCAAATTAATTCTTACAAATAAACATATTATATTTTTCATGAAAATTTTTTAATTTTTTGTTCCTATGGAACACAGACATAACCTATTTAGATGATTTTGCATTACAAGTATTATACATTTGTGTAGCAATAATAAAAAGAAAGTCTTCAAATAAATTAAAGAATATAGAGAGAGATATAGAGAAATATAGATATGTAATACAATACAGAAAATATGTAATACAATACAGTAAATATGAAAAGGAAGTTTATTTTAGTGTGACACTGTAAATCGTCAGTCTTAATATGAAATATGTTTTTTTAAGTCTGTCATCATTAATCTGTTTTTATCTAGACATACTGCATCATTATTCATAAGTTTTATTATAACTAGACAGTAATCATTAATTATTATTCATAATTTAGATGGTAATTTTTAGACTTTCCTAAGTATACTTTGACACTTTGTAACACTTTGAGTATCTAAATTTTGTATAACTATGTGGCGTAAAATACTTAAACTAATTAAAAAAAGAAAGGCAAAAAAATTTCAGTTTTTTGGATAAAGATATTAGAACTTTTATAGGAAGTAACTTTTTAACTAATTTCACACTAACAGACATGAAAGAATGTTAATAAAAATGTGGTAAAAACTGAGCCTGACCTGACTGTAAAATTTCCGTGGAAACACTTTTTAAACAACAACAAAACTTCCATGGCAATACTTTGTTAAGTAACAAGATAATGATATATTCAACAACGTCAACAAAAATACACAGATATCCAACAAAAGAAAGACTTACTAAAAGGTATTCAACAAAAAATTCATTTTTTCTTCTCAATAATTTCAAATACTTTACACAGTTTGCTTCTTCCATACAATAATGAATATATGGATTAAAAATTTCTTCAAACTAAAATTATAAAATCACTAGAATAACTGACATCCATAAAATCTCAATATAAAGAATTTTAGTGGAAAATATCACCAAAAAAATGTACATTTGAGAATGAATCAAGCAACTGCAAGGGGTTGATTGTTTGTTTAGTTCTACGAACATCTTTCACCACTAAGTTTAGATGTTTTGTCCAGAAAACCATATTTGCTTCATATACTTCTAAAATATTACTAAATAACTTGTTTGGATCAACCTCTGTTAAAATACCACTTTCCTGCAAATTCACCAGATATTTTTGAAAAACCTAAAAAAAAAACTATTTAAAAATAAATAAATAAACAAATTAATAAAAATAAAGAATTAAGAAAAGATTATATAATCAAAGATAACTAAAAAGTAAATCAAAAACTATATTGAGCATAAAATAAAAAAATAATAGAAACATATAGTACTTTTATAATAAGACGAATTTTACGAATATAGTTTTTTTCTGTCATTAGCAATTCCCATATTGCTTCTTGTTGAATTCTACACTCTTGTGAAAGTTCAGATACTTCAGTAATAACGTCTGTCCATGAATCTTCTAAGAACACCTCATTGTCAAATTCTGAATCATTATTATCACCATTATCTAAATTGTCTTTTGCCTGTTGGGCTAGCATATCAGATATATTATGAATAACATCCTAAATATATCATAACAAAACAATATAATATATAACTATATAAGTTATACAAATGTAAATTTAATGTGACAATAAACACATTATAAACATATACATAAATGTATATATAAATATATAAACAAAAAAGTTAAACAAACATTAATATATAAACAAATATTAAGATATAAACAAATATACACATGATGTTAACAAGCATAAGTACACAAGAATATAATGATATATAATACAAAGAAATAAATTTGAACAAACAAAAATAACATACACAAGATATAAACAAATGTACATTTCATAGATATAAATGTTTCACAAAATATAAATAAAAAATAAAAGAATTTTAATTTTACATGTAGGTAATTAAAATTTTTTTAAATAAAAATATTTTATAAAATATTTTGGTATCTAACTTGTTTTAAAAATTATTTAAAATAATTGGTTAATAAAAACACCTGCTAAAAGTAGGATTGTTTAATAAAACATATTTAAAAATATTATTCATTTTTCATTACACTTTTTTGCAGGATAAAAAACATCAAAATACAAACTTTAAAAAAAAATTCAACCTTAAGACTGTTGGAAAAATCTTTGCTTTGCAAGACTTTGCGATTTAATTTTGGAGTGAATGAAGATTTGCCATTTTGAGCATTATTATCTTCAGATTTTTTGTGTCTGGGTCCCACCTAGAGATATAATTTTAATCGCTGAGTTAAAAATAGAGCAAATCATAATAATAAATACAAGCTAATATTCTCCCAATCATACAAAATTTTCTTTTATAGATAAACATTTCAGCCATGGTTTTTTAAGCAAATGTTAAAATAAAAAAATACAGTGAAGAAAATTATATTTCATATTTCAATATATTATAATATATAGAATTTATTTATATTCTGCATACAAGAATTCTTGTATTGTTCAATTCTCTCTACAAGATTAAACTTTTACTACTAACACTATGACAAAAATCAATAAATTCTAAATATGACAAATTCTTCTTTTGTATAATGGATGTCAGTGACAAATTCTTCTTTTATATAATGGGTGTCAGTGACAAATTCTTCTGCAATCAATTTATTAACATTATATTATTGTTATTGCTAAGTTTATCTTAATAACATTATTATTAAGCATTGATTTTTAACTTAAATAAAGCATTTTGAACCATTTAGATAAAATGAAGTTAATTCAATTTAAACAATATTTTTTATTAAATACCACTAGTAAAAATAAATAAATTCTTACCCAAACTTTTAAATTAACATTTATTCAAATTTTCGACTGTTAATACAGCAATAAAAATACACCAATAATGAGTAAAATACAATCAAACAACATAATTAAATAGTTTTAATCAAATTTTTTTATTTCAATATTACCAAAGTTTAATGTTTTTTTGTTTTTTTTGTCAAAGTTTTATTTTTTTTTAATTAAGACAGATTTTTTTTTTAATATAAGACAGGAAAAAAACACAAAAGACTTTACGTTGAATTTTTGTTAATAAGATATATCAAATCAATTCAAAACAATTCACTACAAGAGGTAATACACTATTATTTAGGGTGGTAGCCCTCTCAGCTTACAGTTTCAGATAGGAAGTAATCCACTGTTTAGGGTGGTAGCCCTCTTATCAAGAGAGTAAAAATAATAAATTAAAAAAATGAATTTGGATTTTCTTAAACAAGACAATTGGTCAAAACTGGGTGCAGGTTCACATTCGCAATTAACTAAAGATATTCATAATTGGTGCAGCCAGCTTTCACATGCTTATTTGGAACTTTTTGAACAATTGCAAAAACTAGAAACAACTAAGATTAAAAATGACAACAACATTTAAAAACAGATATAATCAAAGCAGCTAACTCAAGCAAGTCTATCTGTGATTGGTCTCTTATTGTTAAACAGGGTAAACAAAAAAAGAAGCCAACAGATCAACTAGTAGCAACAAATGTAGCCATTAATGAAATAGAGGAGAGAAAGAGAAGAGCAAAAAATGTTATTATTTATGGTGTAGATGTAACTGTTAATGAAAACATTGAAATGAAATCAAAAGACGATGAGTCAAAAGTAAAGGAAATTTTTAAAATTATAGATCAAGAAAATGTTATACCAAAATTTATTAGACGGTTGAGATCTAAAACTGATAAACCAGGCCCAATTCTAGTTGAATTAACTGAGCATTTTCTTCACAATACAATTTTAGGATCAGCTAAGAAATTGAGAAGTAATGAGCTACATAAAAATTGTTTTCTTAGTCCAGATTTAACGGAAGCACAAAGGTTACAAGATTTTAATCTTAGAACTAAAAGAAAATGAATCAAGCAAGAACAGACAATGATCCCTTTTGGTATGGCATCCGTGGCAATCAATCATCAAATTTAAAAAGAAATCAGATCAATATGTTTCCTCAAGATTTAGTTTCAGATGGTAATGAAGTTGAAAAGCTGTCATGTTTATATTTAAATGCTACCTCTCTTGATAACAAATTAAGTGAATTTAAAGTTGTGATTGAACAGAACAAACCAAATGTAGTTGCTGTGACTGAGACTTGGTTCAAGAATAATTCAGTGGTAAATGTTGAGGGTTTTTATTTGTATAGAAAAGACAGATGGCAGACAAGGGGGTGGAGTGTGCTTATATATAGACAATTTAATGGACTCATATGAACTAAATGATGCAGGTATAAACCTTTGCAAACTTGAACAAGTGTGGGTAGTAGTTTGCTTTGGTAAAGACAAGTATCTGCTTGGCTACATCTACAGACCAAGTTTATAATTTTATAGACATGTCAGAATTTCATGTGGTATTCAGTTAGGCACGTGAGTTCATTGATAAAAATAAGTTCAAAGATTTTCTAATCATGGGTGACTTCAATTTTCCATCTATTAGCTGGGCAAATGGCTGTGTAGATGTAATTTCAAATGAGAATGGAATTGAACACAAGTTTTCAGATATTTTTAATGAAAATTTCTTTTACCAGCATATCAACATACCAACTTTCCAGCTGTCAGACAATCAACTTATAAATACCTTAGATTTAATTTTCACAACTCAGTCAGCAAGTGTTAGTGGAATAGACTCAAAGTTCGTTCTGGGAAATATAAAGAGAGGCCATTTAATAATATGTTTTAATTTTATCTTAGCTGATAAAGCAGTCATTGACTATAAAAGCAAGCAAAGATTTATGTTTTCCAAATCTAAGTTTGACAAAATATCTGATCTAATTTTAAATGTTGACTGGATAAAATGCTTTAGCAATAAAAACGTTCAGGAAATATTTTATGAACTTATTTATTACACAGAAGTGGCATGTAGTCATTTCATTCCAACTAAAATGACTCTCTAAAAATCAGACCAGCCTGGGTAAAACTTTGAATATGATCTGGTAAAAAGAGCTGCCAAGAATCCAAAGCTCCTGTACAGCTACATAAACAATCAACGAGCAGTCAGAGATTCAATCAAAGCATTAAAAGGAACGGATGGTGAAACCACTCAAAATCCAAAATATATTGCAGATATTTTAAACAAAAACTTTCAAACAGCATTTGTGAGAGAAGATAATGGTCCGCTGCTTTATTTTAAGGTAAGAACAAATGAAACGTTTATTTTGACAACAGAAGATTTTAAATATGAAGATGTTTAAATTTTTAAGTTTAAAAAACTTGAAAGAAAACAAATCAAGTGGTGTTGATAACTTACATTCAGCTATTTTAAAAAATTGTGCATCAGCATTCGCTATTCCACTTACGTATATTTTTAAAGAATCGTTTGAAACTAGCAAATTGCCAGAGCAATTCAGATTAGCAAATATTATTGCTCTGTACAAAAAAGGTGAAAAAACCTTAGCAGAAAACTACCGACCGATATCACTCAACTCGATTGCTTGTAAAATAATGGAAGGTATAATGAGATGTAAACTTGAAATTTTTCTAAATGAGTATAAACTCATAGTCAAGCAGCAGCACGGTTTTGTTAAAAGAAAATCGTGCACAACAAACCTACTTGATACACTAGATTTTGTTTCAACCAGTTTAGAAAATAGTAAACCTGTTGATGTTGTTTTTTGGATTTTGCTAGGGCATTTGACACAGTGCCCCATAAAAGGCTGTTACTAAAACTAGCAGCTTATGGAATATCTAGTTTAACAATTAAATGGATTGAAGCGTTTCTGAAAAATAGAAAATAAAGATTTGTGCTAGGCGAAAACGTATCTTCTTGGGCAGAAATTTTCAGCGGTGTGCCACAGGGGTCAGTAATTGGACCACTTTTGTTCGTGGTATTTATAAACAATTTTTCTAAAACCTTAAAAAACATATCTATGCTGTACGCTGATGATGCTAAAATAAAGAATGAAATGATTTCCTACAAATCAACAGTGTCTTTGCAAGCAGATCTTGATAGAGCTTTTAAGTGGACTCGAGAGTGGCTTGCAAAATTCAATATTTCTAAATGTTTGGTCATGCACTATAGGAATAATAACAGAAAAACACCACTTTATATCAATAAACAAAAACTAAACGTAACAGAATCTGAAAGAGATCTAGGAGTAATTTTCTCAAACAACTTAAAACGGAAAAATCAAGTGATATCATGCGTAGGCAAAGCTAATCAAATGTTGGGTATGATTAGAAAATGCTTTGTTCATTTAGATAATAGACTACTGAGATCACTTTATGTATCTTTTATTAGGCTACTATTAGAATTTGCAGTACCCATTAGGTCACCAAATCAAAAGGGTGAAATTGACTTACTGGAAAGAGTTCAACATTGTGCAACTCGACTAATACCATCACTCAAGAAAATCAACTATGAGAATCGTCTAAAAGCTCTTGACTTAACTACGTTAACAAATAGAAGACAGAGAGAAGACATGATTCAACTTTTTAAGATCTTTAACGGTTTCAACAAATTAGAAACAAAAAGAAAGTTTAATTTTCAACAAACTTAAACAAGAGGTCACCGATTTAAATATGTAAAAGAAATCACTAAGCAAGCTCATTGAGAAAACTTTTTCTTTAACAGATCAGTCAATTTATGGAATAGCTTGCCGAACCATTTGGTTAATTCAGAAACAGTTAACAGTTTTAAAGCTGGTCTTGATTTCTGGATGAGCAGCAGTAAGGCAAATCAGCTGTCATAGTGTGCTAATAACACACTCACTGGTTCATACCAATTACAGCATTTAATAATAATAATAATAATTTTTTTTTTATTTACCTCACTAAGGTCAAGTAGGCCACTACAGTCAAGAAGGCTACTTAATTGTGGTTATAACCCTCTCTTAACTCTATAACGCTGAAACATGAACCTTGACGAGCAAGGCTGTGGTGCGGAGAAACAACTTGAGCGCAGTACTACCAGAGATGTGATGGGAATCAAACTCTGACCCTCTTGTTTATGAAGCAAGGGTTCTATCACTACACCACTACCACATTATGTCTTAATTTGTTATTAAATTTGTTAAAAGTTTTAATAGTTCAATAATTCAAGAAAAGTTTTTCAAAAACAAATGTTTTGAAAAAATATTTGTTTTTGAAAAGTGAAAAAACAAAGAATTATTATAAACATTTTTAAACATTTTAAAAATGTTTATAATGTTTATAATGATTCTTTGTTTTTTCACAATCAATTTAAACATTTTTGTCTGGAAGTGTGTTTTAGTACCATAGAAAAAGAAAAGTACAGAAAAAAATTCTAAAGAAAATTTGTTTTCAATAAATCTACAGAGAAAACTCATTTTGTTGAATTGTCAACTAGTTTAAATTAACAATAGATTGCTAAACATGCTTTGAAAAGTTTTTTATACAGCCCAACTGTGGTGACTTACTAAGAAATCGGTAAGCAGGTGACAAATGGTAAGGACAAGGATATAATTTTTGTTTTGTTTATTAACTTATAAGTTAAACTTGTAATAAGCAACAAGAAACAATTTGTTTACAAGTAAAAAAAAATGATGCCATTTAATTGTGCCATTATTTTGAATAACTTTAATAACGTAATGCAAAAATTTATAGAATGTACCTGGAATTTATCTTCTGATGCTTTCATCAACATAATAATTCTTTCATCTACTTGCATTTCTTGGTTGGCTATAACACAAATAAGATTTGATAAATTATATATATATATATAATATATATTTATATATTAGTTTAAGGTGATAATAACGATTTTCTAAAAGTTCTTAAAAAAAAGTTATTTGTGTCTTATCTCAGACATTCAAGAAAATTTTAAATAATTTTTAAACTTTTCTTGAATGTCTTTCAAACCAAAATATTATGCTCAATGTTTATGTACTGTTTGCAGGAAGTAACTCCTTTTAATTACTCTAGGTCAGGTCAGGTTCAGGATCATCACAATCACCCTGCTACTGGTATTATGTAACCTAGTACTACTTGCTCCATACCCTGCTACCTTGTAGAGAGTGCTTTTTTAGGCAAAGACTAGGAGAAACAAACCCAATTTAAAAATCTCCTGCTTTGAGGCTCTTGGTTAAGCAAAGGTTTGAGATGGTGTTTTGATTAAAATAGTCATCTTGGGCAAATGTTTACTGCATCCAGCTAAAATTCCCCTGCCTTGGGGTTCTTGGTTGAGTAAAGGCTAGAGATGGTGTCTCTATAAAAATACTCATCTTGGGCAGATGTTAACTGCATCCAGCTACTGTCTTATAGGAGGCTTAGGCAAAGACTTTAGGGGTAAACAGAATAATTCTGATAACCAGCCTTAAACCCCTTCTTCATCTATTAGGCTGGCGCAGATGTAAACCTGTGTTACATTGTTTCCTGCCTAAGATGATGAATGCTGGATTCTTCTCATAGGTTTTTGCTTGTGCCTACTTGATAGTGGGTATGCAACTTTTCCTGTTATCTCCTAATGAGGGTATATCTCTGAAACTCAGTTTAATGGTTCTAAGGCCGACTGGTAATAAGGTTTCCCAAACCCTGTGGTAGCTCTCAGAGAGGCTGATTCCATCAACAGCTGCAAAATATCAGAGTATTAACAGAGCCATGTTGTGCATGGATAATGTCCCTGTTAATGCTTTTAGTGTCTAGTGTCTGATTCTAGCTTGTGTTCAGTTTCTCCTTTTTCTCCTTAAGGAGGTTGTAACCATGCAATGATCTTTAAATTTTTCATCTTGTACTTCCTTTTTAGACTCACCCTATCAATACACCACTTACTAATACCCTAAAGTTGACTGGGATTCTTTATGTGATTTTCTTTGTGACAGTCCTTGGGCTGATCTCTTTTCCTTCTCAGCTAAAAAATGCACCTCCTACATAACCTCCTCGATTTAGGCAGGAATGGAAGCTTTTATTCCTTCTTCAAAAATTTTCTCCAGAACTCTCTATAATTCTCTCTAAACTGTTTAATAAGTGCTTAACTGAGTCTTGTTTTCCTGCCTGCTGGAAAATGGCATCTCTTGTTCCAATTTTCAAAAACTTTGGTGAACATTCTGACTCCTCCAATTATTGTCCAATCAGTCTTCTTTCTGTTATTAGCAAGGTCTTTAAGTCTTTGATAAACAAATTTTCAACATCCCATCTTGAGTCAAAAAATTTACTGTCAGACAATCAATATGGTTTTTAATCCTCTCGCTCTATGGCTGACTTGGTAACAGCTGTGACTAAAAGATTTTATCATGCATTAGATGGAGGCAGAAAAGCTAGGGCTATTGCTCATGAAATATTGAAGGCTTTCGACAAAGTTTGACATTCTCGTCATTTCCATAAACTTATTTCTTATGGTGTATCTGGGAAATTTTTGAGATTATCAAATCATCTCTTTCTAACTGCTTTATTAAAGTCTAACACTCTTTTTCATTTCCAGTAAGTTTTGGGTAACCTAAGTAACCTCAACGTTTTATCCTTGGTTCTGTTTTGTTTCTTATCTGCATTAATGATCTTCCTGGAAACCTTACATCTAAAGTAGCTCTTTTTCTGATGACTTAATTTTTTACTCCTGTTTTGACAAAAAGTCTTCTCTCTTCAATCACTTAGAACAGGCAGCCAATCTTGAATTTTATCTCACTCCTGTAACAGATTGGGGCTCACAGTGGCTTGTAAATTTTAACTCCAACAAAACTCAGTTATTTACTACAAACAACTATCTCAGTACTGTCGTCATTCCTATATTAATGAATAGCAACCCTCTCAATGAGTCCTCTTCTTTATGTCTTCTTGGAATTTCATTACAACTGACCTTTTGTGGAAACCATATATACAACCAATCTATCTGCTAAGCTTGACCCTCTTCCCATCATCGTAAAATCATAAAAAAAAAAAAGGCTCTTTCTCTATTCTACAAATACTATCATGGTTGTTGCTCAAAAGAACTATCATCTCTAGTTCTATCAACGAAATTCTCATTCTTGCTTGACTCGTCATGCAGCAAAGTCTCATTCTTTTACTGTATCTGTCCCTGCATGCTCTAAAAACCTTTATTTGTCTAGTTTTTCTCCCTGTACTTTAACCCTTTGGAACTCTCTCTTATCTTCATGTTTTCCTAATTCATTTAACCTTCAATTTTTTAAGTCTTCTTTGTTGTTCAGGTTGCTCCAAGAAGTTCTTAGAGTCTTATTACAGAGCACTGAAGAAAAGCATTTAACCATTAAGTTCATGCCTCTTTCATTTGACCATTCTTTCATATAACCAGAATCAGCTTGGAACTATGGACCTCTAGTTCTGAAGCTAGAACTCTAATCACCAAACCACAGCTGCTTTCAACAATAAACACCATACTTAACACCATAAACAATCCGCCTATAGAGTTAGGTATTATATATTAATATTCTGATATTTTCAGCCACAGAAACTTTGCTATCAGCTGGCCTTAAAGTCATTAAAATGAGTTTCAACATTGTACTTCCATCTCTAAGATGACATAAAAAGCACAGCCATCATCAAAGAGTCACAAAAATCAGTGTTCATCTTCCTAGGCAAAAAAAACATAACAAAGTTAACAGTCTATTAGTTGATGAAGTCAGCTGTCAGTCTATTAGTTAATGAAGGAGTTTAAGACTGTTTAACAGATATTTTTTGCTAACCCCTAAAGTATCTGCTTAAGAGGCTTTATATAAGACCATAACCAAAAGTTTTAGATCTTTAGTATAGTTTACATTTACCCAAGTATTTATTTGAGACATCTCAATACTTTACTCAACAAAGATTTAAATTTAAAGTCAAAGTATACTTCTCGTAGCTTTTATCTACAAAAATAACAAAAACTTTGCAAAATTTACATGTAATCACATTTACACAAAATAATAATCAAACTTGTAACAATTTTATTTTCATTGCAATCTATTATGAAGACATATTAATTTAAAACTTCTTTTGAAACATTTAATATTTTTTCATGGCAATCTATACTGAAGACCTATTCATTTAAAACAACTTATCTTTTTCATTGTGAATGAGTTTGAAAAATTAAAACTTCAAAATAATTTATCTTCATTTCTTTATTTAAAACAAAATAAATTTAAACAAATTCTAAAAAAAATTAATTTTAATTTTTATCATTAATTTCTTTTAGTTTTCTTATTTTTCTTTTTCTTATTACTATTTTTAGAGAAACTTTATTGTTTTTGTCATTATTATTTACTATTTTGATTGCTTCTATTTTTATTACTACTATTATTATTATAGTTATAATAATACTATTATTTTTGCTGCTACCCTTATGGAAATATTCCATGGATTTCCTTGGGTATTTCATGAAAATCCCATAGGAGTCTTTGAAAAAAATTTTCTCATGGAAATTGAAATCCTACAGAATTTTCATGAGTGAACCATGTTTTTTTTTCATAGCTCATGTTGCACCATGGGTTTTACAAATGCGCAATTAAAGATGTCGTTGTAACTCGTAGAGTTACAATCATTTGTAACTTGAGTAAATAATATTTTTTCCATTTTTCTTTTATTCTGTATTTAATAAGATTATAAATTATGTTTTTTATAATGCATCACATTTAATATGATTCAATCTAAACATACAGACATAAATAACTAGACATTTGCAATAGTTAGAACTTGATAAATGTACGCATTTTATAATGCAGCATAACACAATATTATTGATGTTGGTCTAGAGACTAAAACCTTGGTTCCAAGACATCTCAAGACTGTTATTTAACTGAGTTGGTCTTGGTCTTGAAGCTTCGAGTCTTGGTTTTAGCCTTGGTATTGAGTCATAATGTCTTGGTCTTAGTCTTGGTCTTGGCTTTTACTGTCTTAACATCTCTGGATATTATCATACTATGATGCATTACAAAATGTGTATATTTATCTTATTCTAACTATTGCCAATAGGTTTGATTACTTTGAATTTTACAAGTGAATCAGTTTGATTTTTAATGTTTATTTGGTTTACAACAAATATTTTAGTTTTAATGTACATTAGATAACCAGCGTATTAATACACTAGTTATCTAATATACATTAAAACTATTATTATAAAACTTATCTATCATTATATTAGATGAGCTTAAATAAGCAGTATATTGCATAAGATTATTGGATAAGTACAGAAGATAACTAGTACTACCTTTTTTAATTTTTTTCTAATGGCATTAAAATTTTTAAAAGTTTACATAAAAATGTTTGAAGTTAAAACACTTTATTGTATGATAAATGTTTATTAAGTTTGAAAATTTTTTATTTTATGATAAATGTTTTATTCAATTTTAGGTCTGTTAAGTTTTTTTAGTCTTTTTGTTGATGCAATCTGTTTGACTGGCAATAGAAATAATGTTTTAAATCTTTCAGATAGATTGGACAAAGAAGAAGTAAGCTTTTTTTAAATTATCATTTATAAGTAATAACATATGTGTTGCTGCTTTGTTCAGGTAACATTTATATATGTGAATAAATCTTTTTATTTTAACTTTATTATTTTATTTAAATTACTTAATTATCAGCAGGCAGGTTTGACTGGCAATATAAATGATGTTGCACATCATGCAGATAGCTCAGACAAAGAAGTAAGTTTTTTTTTTTAATTACAACTTATAAGTAATACTATATTTGTTGCAGTATTGTTCTATATAAATGATACCAACATTGTTACATTACCAAGTTTTAAAAGGTATTAG